CTGACGCGTCTGTCTGTCTGTCTGTCTGTCTGTCTGTCTGTCTGTCTGTCTGTCTGTCTGTCTGTCTGTCTGTCTGTCTGTCTGTCTGTCTGTCTACACTGGTAAAACGACTGTTAAAATTTTGCTAGTCAATTGATGTTAAATTGTGCATTTTCTCGACACATTGTGGTGTCTAAACTAGGTTACAAGTCAATTAGTGTTTAAACTGTCGACACTTCCGAAAAGTATAGCAGCTGCACACCATACGGTTCCTATGGATAGCATAAAACTGTGTATGTCCAAGTGTGCAGAATTTTAACGTTTACAAAACGGCTAAAATTTGCACACCACCCAAGTGTGCAACTTGAGTTAAACACCATGTCATGTGCAAAGCCATAACTTGCACACGTTGGTGTGCAAATTGTGCACACTCGTCTTACCAGAGTGTATCAATCGATACTGTGATTATCAGTGCGGGTATCAAAGAACAAACATCCTTGGATTTAAAATAGATAAAAGCGGCTTTCAAAGTGGCACCCTGTCAAAGTAGAATGCTTATGGCCAAGCTCTTGTTCGGCTCTGTCTCACCATCTCGCCGTTTGAGGACGCTATCCCCGCCCAAACACGACGGCACCGCACAGCGCCTCGAGGGCGAATGCGGCCGCGCTCGCCGCGTGCCCCATGCCCAGTACGACGTAGGCCGGGTGCAGGTGCCGCAGCGCCAGGGCCCGCGGCTCCCGCAGCGACGCCAGCCTCCGGGCGTGTTCCCGGCGCCCCCGCTCGTGTCCCTCCAAGCGCCATCGCTTCGGCAGCCCCGCCGCCTCCACGAGCCCCAGCGTCCTGACCAGCGGGGCCTCCAGCGGAGACCCCTTCGTCGCCATGCCGATGATGTTGTGCGCCGAATAGGGCAGTCGGATGACGTGCAGCTTCTCGGGCGGCAGTAAGAAGGGCCTCAGAGCACCGACCACGCCGTCGTCCAGGTAGGCGACGAGGGCGCAGTTGCGAGCGGTGGCGATCGTGTCAATCACCGCCTTGATCTCGGCGTGCACCAGGTACTCTGCCCGGGAGGCCAGGTTGTCGGTCAGCACATTGCTGTGGGCTAGATTTCCGAGCACTTTCAGGGGGAGCCCGCTGTCCTCGACGTCACGCAGGCTGTCCAGCTCGCGCCGGGGAACAGCCGAGGACAGCTTGCCCAGAAGCAGGCCTTGGTAGGCGGCGGTCAGCACGACACAGGCGAGCAGCCAGGCGGCCAGCATGGGCCTGGGCGGGGCGGGCGGCGGTGGCGCTTGCCCAACCATCGGGGCCAGCGCCTGCAGCACCGCGCCGCCGACGTCCTGGCACCGCCTGGTGCACGTCAAGACAAGTACCGTGCACAGAGCGGCCAGCCCCGTGCCCAACCACAGCATTGCGGAGAACTCGACCGTGACCGCGTCCATGACGCTGACGGTAGCACCGAGGCCAGCCGGGACGATGACGGCGACGTGAGCCATCTTCATTGCGGTTACAGAGATCACCTCCGTCGACGAAAGCTCGCCGTAGAGCGATCTGGCCGCGAGGACCGCGGCCAAAGTGCACCTCTTCATCGCGCCGTGTACTCGACTGTAATTGGATGTGCCTTCGAACCTTACGGCTGCTCCCAGACTCCTGCGTCGACGGCCTGCTGCCACGTGCTCGAGGCACTTCGTCAGCTCCACGACATGAGACGCATTCCTCGAATCTTTCGGCGTGAGCACGAACACGGTGAGCACCAGACTTTTGCCTCCCCTGCTCGGACGCCAATCGCAGAACTCGGCGAAGACGGCGGACCCTTGGAGCCAGCGGCCCTCCGCCGGCGACCACGTGTCCGTCTCGGTGATGACCTTGGCGCCGAGCCTGCAGGTCGCCGGGACCTGGTCGCAGGTCATCTTGTAGAGGGAGACGCTGCCGTCGGGGGCGTTGAGCGCCAGCGTATAGTGGTGCGTGCCCAGCCACATTCTCGTGCGCATCACGCGCTGGAGCACCGCGTCCCGGGGCGCGGCCACCGCGGCCCAGAAGAGGACCCGGGTCGGGATGGTGGTGGCGTCGTACGTCGTCAAGGCGACGAGGAGGTCCTCGAGGCCGTCGACGGGGAGGAGGTGGGCGCAGCGCGTCGACATGAGAGCGTGCTCGAGCTGCGGTGGCTCGGCGGCGCGCTCGGCGAAACCCGGGCGCAGCACCCGGGGGACGTCGGCGGCCAGCTCCAGGAGGAAGGCGCCGGTCCAGTTCGCCCGCCCCAGCACCACGAGGGTGGCCCTCTGGGGCGCCATGAACGGCGTGAGCAGCGCCGCGGCGCTCACGGCCTCGGGGGGCGCGGCCGTGTCCACGACGGGCAGGTCGGCCCGCACCCCGGGCGCCGCGCAGCAGAGGAGGAACACGACCGGGGCGAGGGCGGCCTCCATGGTGGCGGGTGCGAGTCTCCAGGCGTACTGGCTGCCGTCAGAGCGAACTCAGTCCGACCCGACCGTCACCTGTCGCCCGATTCCGGGCTCTTTACAGACCGTCTGCTGGCTAAGAAGTGTCATTTTTTCTATTTCTGTATACGTAGCCTGGAGTGAGGCGACGGTCTTTGATGACGATTGTCGTACGCTCGCCAATACGCGCCTCCTAAGCGACGTATCGAACGGCCACCAACCGATGTGGGCGACGATATGAAAGAAAGACCGTCACTTTTGTCACCGTGGACTACAAATTGGTACCACCGGCATACTGTAGGTGATGTAGTTTCCGAGCCAAAGGTGCCGTCTAACTCAGCTCATACGAAGCACCAGAATCCAACTCCACTGGGGAAGCAGGCAGGAATGGACGAAAGGGGCGAGGTGAAAAAGGTTTTAGCTTTAGTTTATTTTTCAAGAACTTGTGACCGGGCAGCGTAAATTCAACCCGACGGTGGTTTCGCGCACGTTTAGTGTTTGTGTTTGGTTTCGGAGCGGGAATCGCACTGGGGCAAATCCGCTTTGGAAACCACACAGCACCCTAGTGACCTCCCCACCCCTCCCCCCAGGCTTGCCAGGGGGAAGCGGGTGCCGCCCCGCCGCCGCTCGGGTGGCGCGAGAACAGAGTAGTAGGAGAAAACCAAGGAAACGAGAACCTAATGGGTCGTTTGAATTTTAATCGCTCTGCCGCGAACGGAGTCGAGCCAGAGGAAAACAGGCCGCACAACGCTCAATAAATGCACTGCGAAACGAGTTTAGCAATATCATTATATTACAAATACACTGGAAGAATAAAGGGAAGGACTTGCAGGGGTGGTAAATTTTATTACCTTTTGCAAGGGCACGAAAGTGTCCAAAGGCATTACATTTTGACACCTCAGGGCAGTTTTAATGGCTTTGCAGGGGTGCTGATTTTTCATGCCTTTGTAAAGGTATTAAACCCCTTCGAATACACGAGTGGGAGTGAGAGAGAGAGGGAGACTCCTGTGATTAGCGAGCGCAAACACTGATAAAGATCAGAGAGAGAGAGAGAGGAGGAAAGAGAG